CGTTTTCACGAAAAACGGGCTGGTTTTGGGAGGGTTGCAGAGTGCAAAAACTTTTTTTCCTTTCGAAAGCTCTTTAGTTAGAGTGACTTATGAAAATTAGATTGATCAAGTTCTGTGCCAGCAGAAACAAAGTCTTAGGTGCTGCAGATTGTCAACGATTTCCTTCTCCAGCACATGGATAAATACACCTGGAAACATCTACCTACCTATCTACTCTCTCGCGCGCCCTACCTACCTACTGTATTTCTCTCTCTCTCTCTATCCCTCTATCTACCTACCTACTCTCTCTCCCTATCTATCTACTGTATTTCTTTATCTTTTTCTATTACTCTCTCTCTCTATCCCTCTACCTACCTACACCCTCTCTCTCTCCCTACCTATCTACTGTATTTCTCTCTCTCTCTCTCTCTATCCCTTTATCTACCTACTCTCTCTCTCTCTCTCCTTACCTACCTACTGTATTTTTCTTTCTATCCCTCTATCTATCTACCTACCTTTTTTTTAAAATTGCCTCTTCAAAACCTTGGTGCATCTTATACTCCGAAAAATACGGGTAACTCAGAATGTGTTGATTTTTTTAATGCATATGAAACAGCAAAGGGTGAGCATTCATTTAGATTACTAATTACCCATGTAAATGGAATATTAATTGTTTCTATTTCAGGACTTGAGATGGTAACAGTTAAAGAAGAATCAGAAGACCCTGAATATTATCAATTTAATATTCCAGGTAAACCTGTGAACCTTCTTTTATACAGTCTGAAATCTTGAACGGTAAATTATGCAGGCAGAAAAACTGAATGAAGGACAATGTAGTTGGAAACCAAAATAGGGTTTTGGTTCCAGTATAATCATATAGTATTTGAAGCAGAACTTGTTTTGGGTTAGGTGAGCCTTATCTAGTTCCAGCTCAATTGTGTGCTGCATTTGCTCCCTAGGCACTATTGTCTATGCTCCCCTCCCCCTTTTCTTAAAAATTGAGAGCTGTTTCTGAGTGTTTTAAATAAATTAAAGTTAAGTATAATAACTATCCTGTCGATAGTCAAACTTACTGCCAAATACCAAGTATTACAAATCTGTTGTGTTGGAGGGAAGAATGGAAGGATAGTCTGCATGCGGCAATGCCATATGAAAGTTTTATATATCTCAACACTTTATATCGATTCTTATTAATGATAGCTATCAAAAACTATGTGGGCTTGTGTACTTTATTTAAAAGACACAAAGTCACTCTTGTTAGAGACTATAACTTTGGTCTGCTTTCAAACAGCAAAAGTCATAAAAACACCATAAAATCTGCCAGTTCCTCCCAACATCGCACATATATATCAATAATAACTTTATCAGGCTCTACCGCAATGCTTGACATAAGAGCCGGTTTTTCAAGGCTTTCTAGAAATCTAGATGGATAGTAGCTTATCAAAGTTCAGGAAGAAGAATGTTGCAAACCGTAGGAGTTACTATCAAAAAGATACTTCCAAGGTTGAGCTAGACAGCAGAAGACCTTCCACCCTATCTGTCTTGGTGAAATAATCTGCTTAAAAATTACAGAGATGATACCTAATACAAAATAAAAAAAGAAAACCACAGCAATTATTTTTTAAACTTAAGTGTATTCAAACTGTTTTTGCCCTCTTGTAATATCCATTTGGAAGTAGCATCCTGACTGCAAGCAAGCTGAACATACATGGTGTAGTATGGTTTGGCTGACATTGTCTACTTTGGCATACAATTAAGGACTAATGAAATGTGTAAATTTGTAATGTGGCTTTTGCAGTAGCTGTATAAAAATTATTCTGAAAACTATTTCAAAGGATAGCATCATTCAACTTGCCCTATTGGAGACATAGGTAGCATTTAATTCAATAAATAAGTAATTGTTGAATGATCCCAGCCTAATGTAGTATCCTGGGGCTAGGGTTGAAAATAAAGGCACAGAATTGAATAAGACCACCTTAGAGCCCTTTTTTATGTCACACTAAATTTTAAAATGGAAAATTAGGGTTTTATATTATTAAAAATTGTAGTTTCATTTCTTCCTTCCATAATTTACATTTATCTTCCAGGAGGCTATTTTAATGAAAAGCTAGTCACGTTCAGTATCTTTTGTCAGGGTATTTCTTCTTTCTCCTTCTTCTTTCTGCTGACCCAGATGAGAGTTTTACTGGTTTATAGTGCCCTTTAAAAAAAAAGACCCATTCTGAGCAAGATGCTCTGCGAGGAGACAAACATTGAGGATGAACAATGCTAACTGGACAACTGTCCAATTGTGACCCGTTGCCTAGTGCTGGCATTGCAAAACATCACAGCAAGATCGGTTTGCACCAGAATGCTGAAAATAGTGTGTAGCTGACAACAGAAACGGTATAGGATGGAAATGGATGTATATTCTTTACAGAACCATATCAGGCTTTGTTTATGTAACCAAGAAATAACAACATAAAAAACTGCTTTGCTTACAGATACCTTCTTTCATGTCTCAAGGATAATACTGCATTGCTCCGTTCCCCAATCTCCTTTCTATAGTCCTTGAAGCCTTCAGTTATAAGAGGCAGTAGTGCCTTTATAAAGGGCAAGTGATACATGTATAGGGGTGTGGTTCCTTTGTGTAGACTTTCTTTTTGACTTTATTATATCTTATTTCATAAAATTATATTGTATTTCTTTTATTGAGCAAAACAAAAATAGTTGTGATGGTGATACACATTTTCAAAGAGAAAAAAACCTAAAGTTAAAAAGTTTTTTAAACAAGTGAAAAAATATGAGAAAAAATATAAAATAATTACAATTTCAATATATATATAATGCAAATTTATCTAATGCAAATCTTATTGAAGTACATATATATTTCTGTACTTTTATGCACTTTTTTTTAACTTGCTGTATTCTGAAGGTCCCATATTTCATTATACTTATTTAAACAAGTGTTTTGCAGCATTGAAAAAAGAAATGTATGGCTCCATTTAGTCAATGGATTGGACATAATTGCACTTATGAAGCTATAGACATACGATTGACTTTAAAAAGTAGCTGTTAAGATTATAGAAGAAAATATGCAAGTCGGCATTTGAAAGCAATTTCTTAATATGTAACTGACCTTTTTCAAGGATCAGCATAGTGCCTATAGAGTTGAGGATTTCTGAAGTACCCCTAGACAGTTTCCATGGAACCATAAATTTTAAGCAAAATCTTTGGTGCGAATCTCATGAGACTTCAACGCATTGTCACATTAAATTCCAAAATTTCATGATTGGTTTTTTTTACAAAATTAAATTGCAGAAAACCTCCACCTATTTATTTGAAAAAGGGCATAAAAAGCCCTTCGTGGGCAAGGCATATTTAATTGAAATTTCATTACTGTTCTAAAATGCCTTGAACTTTGATTTAAGAGTTCATCTTGGATAAATGGACACTGTGCAAGCATATGAATCACTAATAAATGGTCTCAACAGTATAGCCAGAAGACTGAACCCCATCATGCTTACTGTCTTGATGACACTGGAGAGTGTTCCTGCCTTTCTATTTCATTACAGTTTTCTCAGTTGATGGGATTTGTCATGAGACTGATAGTTGATTAAAAGTCCATTCTTAAATACAGAAGAAAAAAGATTGCTGAGTAATAATTGCCCCCAAGAAAATAATTGTATAAGTTTTGCATTGTGATGCTGGCTGAGGAAGTTGTTATCTGTCTTTCTTGCAGCATGGGAAACAATCTGAAATTTAAATAGAACTGAAAAGGTATTCAAAATGTAAATATGCGTTCGCTAAATTTGCAAAATATACACATTTCTATGTTTTCTGTGTCAAATTTTTAAAGGATGGACAGAAAAGGATATTAAAAACATTGTGGCTCCATTTAGGTAACAGGTCAACAGAAGAAACTTACCAACAGTTTAGTATTATCTGAAGTGACAAACTGTGGTTTATATTGTTTGTTAAAACTGAATTGGAAGCCATGGATTTAAAGTAAAATTTCAAAACTATACAGCTTGCGCTGACCATATAATAGTTGATAGATTGTAATTATGCCCATTTCTTGACTTCCAGAAATTATGTGCAAAGATTAGTGTGTTGAATGAATAGGCAGATTTAAATTATTGCTTGTTTTAATGGTGCTGAAAATGTATGGAGTGCAATATAATTTGCTGTCATTCTAGGATCCAGCGGTAAATCACTCTTGGAATTCTTCACACTGCTGTAATTCTTAATTGTATTTCTGTGTCACATCAAAAATGCTGAATACAAATACTTCCCATAGATGGCCACCATAATCTTCTCATCTATCGTATTTTTCGCACTATAAGACACACTTCTCCCCCCCAAAAAATGGGTGTAAATGTCTGTGTGTCTTATAGAGCGAATATTGCGGCAGGGGGGAAGGGGGGTTGGTGCAGCAGCGGTGTTTGCCGCTGCCATCTGTCATTGCTGCTGCTGTTTGCTGTCGGGGAACACAAGCCTTCGTTGCCAAGCAGCTGATTGGTGGTTGGATCAGCCTCCTGGAATACCACTGATCAGCTGTTCTGGCAGCGGAGATTGCTGCTGCTGCTGCTGCCGCCTATCGGCAACAATAGGCAATAATCCCCACCACCTAGAACAGCTGATTGGCGGTATGCCGGGAGACCGATCCAACTGCCAATTAGCTTCTCAGCAAAGGCTCAATTGTTCCCTTGCGGTAGTAGCTCAGTTGACTGGTGGTGGGTTCAATGGAGCGGAGCCCTGACAAGCCATGTGCTGGGGTTGCGACAACGTGCTGAGGCTGACCAGGCTGTTTTCTGTTTGCTGCAAGGACACTAACCAGATGAATACTGGATGGATGCTGGGAGGCAGATTTTTTTCTTTTTGTTTTCCTTCTCTAAAGCTGATGTGCGTCTTAGAGTGCGAAAAATACGGTATTTAGAAAATGTTTATGGCCACTCATCAGACAAATAATTCTAGGTACTAACAATATAGGCAATATAAATCTAATGAAAAATAAAATTAATAGCAAATATAGTAGATGTAAGAGCTGAAAAATCTCACAAAAAATGACAATCCCAAATATGCTTCACAGCTTCTGCCAACAACTCAGCCCCGATGTCTACGTCGGGTGTCAAACTGGTGGTCCACGGGCTGGCTGTGTCACACACAGGCCATGCCCACCCCAGCTCTACGAAGGGAAAAAATGTCTGATACCTCACGTGACATCAATGTGGTGTGGCAAATTTGACACCCGTCATCCAAGAGAATTGCCAGGTTTTCAAAGCCCTCTGGAAGGCCAACAGAATCGGAGCCATCTGGATCTCGGAAGGGAGGTGGTTCCTTAGAGTGGGCACCATGATAAGGAAGGCATATCTCCTGGATCCAACAGGATTGCATTGTTTCATTGAGGTGACCCAAGCATGCCTACCCCATAACATCTGGTGGGTAGAAGTTACTGGAGACAGGTGGTTCCACAAAATAACTTCTGTGCTTTATGAAGCTTTAAAAGTTGATAATCAACGTCTTGAATGACACCTAGAAGCCTACTGGAAGCCAATGCAGCTTGCTTAGTAGTGGGTTACATGGGTGAATCTTGATGCACTGCTGCCTTCTGGACCAAATGAAATTGCCATCTGTATTCCAGAGAGCCCCATTTAGAGAGTGCTGCAGAAATCCATATAGAAGGTGGCTCATCTGTCTATGGATTGTTCAAGGGAAAATCTGGATTATACAAAACTCATGACTTCTCATGTTAAACCATGCAATTCATTGCAACTTGAAAATTACATCAGAAAACCCATGGGCTGGTATGTGTTTTATACAAATGACATATAGAGGGGGGAGGCTGTAGATGCATTTGGAACTTGTTCATGCTAACCTTTAATAGCGGTTTAAATATTGTTCAAAACCTCTCCCCCATTATAACTATTATTTTTCCTGTAATTGCTTGGTTCAGCTCAGCATGCTCTCATAATGAAAATGGAAAAATCTTAGTGATTTTTTATGGCTGTCTTTATTTGCAAAGCAGGTCCTTCAGAAACTTCGGCGATTGATGAGAAAATCGCCATGGCAAAGTCTTACACAGGTATAGCAATTCACTTGTTCATTATCATGGTACGATTTCTCACATTAATGCCACAGTATCATATCCTGCTTGCCAGGAACACTGTTCATCTAAATTTGATTTCAGATCCATGGCCTGAATTATACTGACTAGTGATTTCTCCCCCTCATTACTTTCCTATTTTGGATTCATTCAGATACGTTGTTTCTGCTTATAGCTGCTTCCTCCTTTTTCCATTTGTGGGAAATAAAGAAACCTTTTAAAATGCCTTTTTTGCACACCTTTCTCTTTTCCATATTTCCTAACCCTTCATATTGGCAAATTAGGAGGGTTAGCAATTCAGTAATACAAAGGAAATCCGTTGGATATAACGGGAAAATGTGTATAGCTACATGCTTTCATCCATTCCCCAGTTCTTTTTAAAATCTATACTCTTCCAAATTATCAGTGACCTAAATACTGTACTTTTGGATTTTCGTTTTAGTTTGACTTTTTCCATAGATTTTTGTTTGCAGTGATCTTGCTGGAGGCTGGATGCCAATGTGCCATAAAACGTCTACTCAGCCTATTTAAGAAACTAATTCTGAAATTTCAAGTGTTGATTAGCATCCTCCACTTTTTTATGATGGTATGTTTATATTTGTCTAAAGGGAGCAACCAGGGTTCCGATTGCAGTGAAGGAACAGATGTGGAATTACCAGTAGAAGGTTAGAAATATGTAAATTTAAAAAAATAAACTCTGGTAAGGTATTTCAAAAATTAAAAGAGCACAGTGAAAACATATCCATTGTGTTTGTGTCTTGCATTCTTTTTTTCATATTCCACATGGTTGTGTATTTATTGTCCTCCCCTTGAATTGTGTTCCCGCATGTTTATTGTGGAAACTATTGAGAAATATTTTCAATATAATCTCCTTTCCCTTTCTCCCTTCTTCCATCTTCCAGTAAACTATAAAAGCTATTTGGAAAGATTTGATAGTTGGTTTCCTCCATTCAATTAGTCTTTTCCATCAACTTTGGTGGATTTTACTTATCTTTTTTCTACTGAGTAGGCAATAGTGCTACTACATAACAGAAGATCTGGAAAGTATGAAGGCAGATAATGTGATTTTTTAAAAGGTGGCAATGAAAAGTTAGATACATGTAATTAATTTACAATTATAATTAAATTTTATGATTAGGCCCGTCTTATTTCAATATTTGGAACTAGGAACACAAGATTTGGTGTAATGGGATGTGAAAAAAAAGTATAAAAAGTTATTTAGCTGTATGATGCTTGCTAATGTGAATTTTATTGAACAGATTTTCAAATTTAAAGACCTTGTTTCTGAAAAAGGATTGTTGCTGTTGCTACTGAGAATGTGACTGGTGCTTGCCAAAGCATATATAAACTTTCCAGTTGGTTTCAGTGCCATAATATTAAGTATTCTTGTTTAATAAAAGCAGAATTGATGGGCTACAAATTATAGTTCATAGGAATATTTCTATTATGGAAATATGTTTTGAATTAACATACTTGTAAACAGTTTTATAAAGCATTAAGCATGTCATTAGATTTAACTCCCTGTTCAAATTTTAAGATCATATTATATTGTCAAATTACTCTGGTTCCTGGGCCTTTTTTGTGCATTGTAAAATAGAATCTGAAAGTAATACTGTTTTGGACTGATTCCAAAGTAATGATACTGAATAAGCCAGCATTTATATCTATTGATGTATTTATTTTGAATGTTGAAGGAGCCTTCTCTTTTTCCTTTGCTTATTTCCTTTCCTTCCTGTTGCTTATTTTGATGGAGTGAATCTGAAAAACTGAATTTTTTGTTTGATTAGATTCTGAAGAGGAAAATTCAGGTGTAAAAGATGATCAACATTTGTATTAAAATAGTAGGCTTAAGTTAACAGTTGAAGTAGCTTATAGAAACTTTTTAGAAATCCTTTGGGGATATGTATAGGGCATTAAAAGATTCTCAATTCTGTACAGTGTAAAATTGCATATTGTTTGGACATAGAATCTTTTCTTGTTTTGTTAGTAACCTTTTATGCTTTGTAGATCACTTTTACCTGTCAGTGTAAAATTTTGAATCTGTTTGGAAAATGCTTATTTTAAAAAATGAATCACTTGCTGTCCCTTCTGTCTCTGATTCAGATTAAAGAGGAATTCAAAAGTTTGTTTTTGTTCTTCATTAAATAGAGATAATGGTCTATTATCCATACTGATTAATCTTTGCTATGGTTTATTTGAAAGAGATGAATTTCAACCTTTGTTCTGTAATGTTGGCTTAGGTCAACATACGTAATAGCAATTGCACTTAGAAGTTTATCCTGCTTCATAGTGCTTTACAGCCTTCTCTAAGTGGTTATGTAACCTTTCTAAAGTGCAGTTTTTGCACTACAACTTGGTTTGTTTGTTTTAATTTCTGCCAAAGGACATTGAACATGGTTAAACATATGTTTGAATAAATTTTCCCTTATTTCAGATACTTTAAAATTAATGACTAAAATGATGGAAACAGTTCTGCTTGGAAATATTAGTAATTTAGTACCTAACATTTGGTTGACTGGGACATGAATTTTATTTCCTACCCTTTTTCATGTTTATTGGAATTTCTTAATAAAGATGGACGTTTTAACGTTATATGCAGGTGTCCTCAATTTATGACCACAGTTAGCACTAGAACGTACATTGCTAAGCAAGGTGGTCATTAACTGAGTCACATGCCTGATTTTATGTTTGTTTTTTGCTGTGATGATTAAGCAAATTTTACGGCTATTAAGTGAATCTGGTTTTCCTTGTTGTAAACTACCTGGGAGGATAGCAAAGAATGATCACATGACAATGATGAAAATACAACTTTTGAAAAACTGGTCCAGTGCCAGTTGTAGAGCCAATTGTAGTTTGGAAATATCAGCTCTTTGAATCAGACTAGGTCAAAAATGCTGGAATTTCTTCTTGTGTTATTGATACAGGCTTATTTCTCCACCAGGCCTGCCTTGAAGAGCTGTGTGGAAACAAATCAATTTAATAATGGAAGTGGTGGAGTCCATTATCCTTGTTATAACCCCCTTCTGTTTTGACTGTTAGAAAGAGCTATTCATTTGGATTTGATATGTTTTCTGACTTTTGGCACTGGGACTAGGAAAGAAAATAAGAACAGTACCTTTTCAGAATGTCTCATGTTGACATACAATGCTGTATCAATACTTTATGATACTTCCATTATATAAAATGTTCCTGCTGATAATCGATGACTTCAGTGTGGGGCAAAAAGTGAACCACTCAGTAGGTTTGGACAGCTGTAGAATACAAATGAACTACAGAAAATACTATTTGCAGTTACAGTTCTAACCTTTAAACAACAGTTGTAGTGTTAACATACATTTTTAGAAATATAACTATAATCATTCTCATTTGTTTGCATCATAATTGTCTTGTGTGAAAATTTGTAAATTTCCTATATTCATCATTTTGAAAATGTTTGACAGCAAAGATTCAGATGAATCTAGAAAAAAGCTATTAATCTTCCTACTTAAACATCCACATGTTTCTATTTTCATTTCATAAATTTTGTGATAAGCTTCTGATAAACTATTTTGACTTCTATGTTATGGGTCTGTTTTATCCATGATGTACAAGATATATGTTGACTTGCCCCTGTCGAGTAAAATCAGTCTTTCAGTGTGTCTGCGCCGTTCAGATTTGGTTTTTTGTTCTGCTTTTTTCAGATTCTTCTCAGCATGCCACTTCTGAAACAAGTGAGGATCCTGAAGTGGAAGTGACCATTGAAGGTTGGCCATTTTCTCAACTAATTTTATTTTGCTCACTTGTTTCAGAAGAATCTCAGTCATGTGGCATTGTGTACATCACTTCTATCCTTCCTCCCAAACCCTTCCCATTCCATAAGATAAATTGTGTTGGGCAAGCTAGTCTTTTGTAAATGCTGAATTTGAATCGTCATGTTTTCTAGAGTGGTTGATGTCAAAAGGGGTGTGGGGAATACTCAATCTGATATTACTGCTTACCAGAAGGAAGCAATTTCATCAGGTTCCGTTTCAACCGAGGATGCTTCATTGGGCAATGATTAAAACTATGGAAGTTCTCCAGAGTATTTGAGAAAGATCCACTCATTTGATGATCTAGTAAAACCAAAAGACCTGTTTGTCTGTAATGTCCCCACATCATTTTGGTCTTGCTGAGTTTTGTAAGATTTGAGGCAGATAAAACGAAGTGTTTACTTAAGAAATTCAAATGGTAGATTTGGGAAGTAGAAAATATCTTGTGAAGTTGACTGCCTAATGTTAAGATCTGATAATGTACCTCAAGGCAAAGTATTCTCAAATCTGTTTCTTCCTGCACTTACCTCCTCTCCACCCACCCATTGCCTGTGACAAATTGATATTTTAAAAACTACACAAATCTCATAAAAGAAAGAAAAGTGAGATGAAAGAAGTTGAAGAACTGAAAGGGCATTCAGATTTTGCAGTTCCACAGTGATAATTACTGTGCTAAGAGCTAAATCTAGTAAACAAGGTTGGTTGAATACTGATAAGACTGTTTAGATGATGTGTGACTTGATCATGCCTAGTTATTTGGATATCCCTGGATGAGAAATGGGAAAATAAGAGGGATTTCTGCATGTGAAGAAAAGTATACTATTGATAGCTTTTCCTGCATGAAAAACAAAAGCACCATGTTCTGTGATGTAGTGTCATATTTTGTACATAAAGTTAATAAGAGTAAGTCTCTCCTTTCAGTGTCAAATTGTGTTATTTTATTTACTTTGTCATAAATTTGAATGGTGTGACATTGTAGAAATTTAAACTCAGAACATAGTTACAATGCATTTTTTCTTCATCTGTGTCTGTTTTATTTCTAGTAATGGCAAAAGTCAGTCTATTAATTTTTTTTAAGTATTCAAGAATGCTAGTCACTATTTGCTAATAACCAACTCACACTGGAACATCTGTTCATTTTACTTTAAGCAGCTGTTGGATTGACCTGGTGGGCAAATTTGGGTTATGGGGAGGAAAAGGGTGGAAACAAAACTACAAGGGCTATTCCTATTTATGCATGTGTATGTTTGCATCAGACATCTTCTTTTTTCTTGCCTCATAACTTTTTAGTTGATAATTGCATCCTTGAATATATAGTTTAACATACTTCTTAACATAAATGTTTTCCTTTTTAAATGTTTTGGCAGACATTATTGATTTCTTTCTGTTTAAAATGCGAGCTTATTCACATTTATTAGATCGCTAGTGACATTTTACACACTGATTCTTGTTAATTTCAGTGTTTATCCATTTATTGCTGAAATTACAACCCGATTGTCTCTTATCCCACCATGTACCAATATATTTATTTGGTATTCTGAGAGAGATTTATATCCTCTAACTTCATGATATTTTTATTTTCAAGCCATTTAATCTAGTGTGGTATCTTTATTGGTTGGAACTCCAAACTGAATGGGGTAGGATAGGTCCTTGTTGAAAGTAAGATTCTAACGCTACTGACATAATTTGAGTTTTAAGTGGAAAAGTTAGGATTAGGGTAGAATTGATAAAAAAAAGAATTGATATGTGGATCCTTATTTTGGAATAGTTTGACAGCAGATTATTTGTCATGATTTTTAAAGACAGTGAGATAATGTCAAGTAACAGCTGTGATGCATATGTTTGTCTCTCTGAAGATGATGATGACTATTTACCACCACATAAGAAGACAAAGAGCATAGAACCAGTTAATGATGCTTCCAATGTGGGGAGAAGAAAAGCTAGAGAGTTCAATTTTGGTAAGTTTTAAATGAAATTTTTATAAATCTTTCATTTTGAAGCAGTTCTAGTTTAGACTTATTCACTGGGAAAGTTTCAACAAGGCTAATTAAGAATGTCCTTCACATGACCTATTTTGTTAGATCATCGTGGCAGGATGGTATGCCTGGGAGGGGTGAGCAAATAAAGGTTGGAGTATATGCCATGGGTATATGTGTTGAGAACCAGAATATAGACATATTAAGTTCTGAGAAGGAAGATAGTAGTAAGTGACTAGGCCTTATTCTTGTCTCACTGGGGGATAAGAGGAGAGAGAGGAGAAACATAATAAGATTTGCAAGATTGCATTATAGCCTATCTCAATATAATTCTGCTTTTCCTGGGGAATGTGGTGCCTGATCTGGTCTGTCTCAAAGGGATGATTATAATACAGGCAATCCTTGACTTAGGGCCACAATTGAGCCCAAAATTTCTATTGTTAAGTGAGATTTTTGTTAAGTAATTTTTGCCTCATTTTATGTCCTTTCTTGCCTCTGTTGTTAAGTGAATCACTGGAGTTAATGTTAGTAGCCTGGTTGTTAAGTGAATCTGACTTCCCCATTGTCTTTGCCTGTCACAAGGTCACAAAAGATGATCACAAGATCTTGAGACACAGCAGCAGTCATAAATATGAACCAGTTGCCAAGCTTCTGAATTTAGATCACATGAGCATGGGGATGCTGTAAAGGTTGTAACTGAAAAACAGTCATAAGTTACTTTTTTCAGAGCTGTTTTTAACTTTGAACAGTTACTAAAGGAATGGTTGTGAGTTTAAGACTACCTCTATAAGCAGAGTCACACAAGGCATAAATGTAATCTCAATTCCCGAGCTAAAGCAAGCAGGAACCCGTGTTGTGCAGTTGTGATATAGGAAGATGCTAGAGATGAAATATGACTTAGTGACAATGACAAAGGGATTGTTTCAAATTGCACAAGAGAAGGCAATGGTAAATTAAGCTGTGTGGTAAAGCCAGAGTTACAGGAGGGAGAGGAAAAAGAGACAGCAGAGCTTGGAATGGGTCAGGAGAGAGCAAAGTCAGACCTTTCCTAGAAAGTCATAGAGTATATCTATAATTATTACATATAATTGCTTTAGAAATTTTATATTGAAAGAGTGGTACCTAATATTCAGTATGGATTTGGAAAAGACAGAGACATGAGACATTCCTGATTCATACTGGACTATTCAGAAAGCCAAAGAATAGCAAAAATAAGTCAGTATGTGCATTGTTTATAGAACGATCTTTACTTGTCAATCATAAAAAGCTGTGGAATCTGCTTAGAAAAATGAGAAGGGGTGGTAAGGTGAAGGCTCCACGAAAGCAGATCCAATACAAGAGATGATGCCCACGGAGAGGGAGCTGGTATGATTGTCAGGGAGAGGGCATGGGGGGGCAGTGCAGGGAGGATGTGCGATGGAGGGTTGAGCAAGGTATGTTTGAGAGATGCCATGTATGTTAGGGAGGATGGGTGGAGGTACCTAATAGTGAGGGTGCTGCACAAGTGAGAGGGTGTGTGTAAGAGGCACTGTGTGGGCTGGGGAGAGTTTGTGGGGGTGATGAGTGCATTGGTCAGGGAAGGTGTGTAGGGCTGCAGAAGTTATAGGCATAAGTCCAGGGGTGGGGGGAGTCTTACGCCAACAATGTGTGACCTTCTCTGCTGGCTTCCCCATTGACTTTCTAGGAAAACTGGGAGGGAAGGTTGCAAATGGTGATCACATGATTGTTCAGCACTAAGCAGCTAGTCATAAATGTGAGTTCTAAGGATTGGTTGTAACTGTTCAATGCTCTTGCAACTTGGAATAGTTGCTGACTGAATAGCAATAGCACTTAGACTTGTATACTTCACAGTGCTTTACAGCCCTCTCTAAGCAGTTTACAGAGTCATCCTATTGCCCCAAACAATCTGGCTTCTCATTTTACTTACCCACCTTGGAAGGATGGATGGCTGAGTTAACGTTGAGCCTGGTGAGATTTGAACTGCCAAATTGCAGTCAGACGGCAGTCAGCAGAAGCCACTGCACCACTGTGAATGGTTTTTGGTTGAGGACTACCTGTAAACGTCTGCAAGATTATGCAAAATCTTGAGATAAGAAAAACATCGAAAAAGACTTTTGAAGAATGAAATCCAAAAAGAGTAGCTACAATATCAGATAGATGATGAGGATGAATTAGAAAAAGATGCTTCACTGGATCTATAAAAGAAACTGGCTGTGACTTCAAAATTTAAAAAAGAAATGTACAAATGAGAAACCAAAAAAGGGACCTGGATAATTCTTTCTGATTGGATTTACAAAAAAGGCTTGTTAAAGCCTCGAAGAACTCTTGATGAGACGAAGCAGAAATGAAGAGAAATCAAATCTTACAAGAATGGTTGAAATACTTTGAAGTTCTCTGACACATAAAATCTAAGATAGTCATACTGGCTATGGGGGAAAAGTATATATTTTGTAGAACTAAATTTATTGCCTAGACATATATTTTAAAGATTCAGAATGTTCATATGGAAGTAGATGTTACGATAGATGTAATCAAGCTCTTCATCAGGCTTCTTTGAATTTAAATATCGTGGAAAGTATGATAGAAGGAAGACAAGGAGGTAGTGATTTGATGTCATGTACAAACCAGTAAGCTAGCCTTTTATAGAATGCATTAATGAGGCTGATAGTGTGGAATTAAGCTACCGTATATACTCAAGTATAAGCCGAGTTTTTCAGCCCACTTTTTGGGCTGAAAAAAGCCG